AGCTCTAAGGCCGTTCTCACAGCAAGATCGGCTAAATAGAAAAAAAATACACCTTTGATTTGAGCATGTGTGATCGTATACTTGATGTTTTAGTAGAAAATAAATTTATTAGAATTTCTGATCACCATGTATTGCCATCAATGCAAGGGCAATTTTTTTTTAAGTTGCATAATTCATTCAAACATAGTATTAAAGATTGCAACATGTTTCGCCAAATAGTACAATTGGCCATTGATAAGGGACGATTGTCTTTTGTTGAAACACATGTGAATGACCAATTAAATTTAATTGGTCTTGATGGAAACAATATATTGCATCGGCTACTCCAAGCCGATTCATTCAAAGGTGAGAAGGTGATTACAGGAGATGATGGACTGAAGCCTTCAAGTGAAGCTGAAAATATTGTTCAGAATGTGCACATTGAAAACACTCTTGAAGGCGTAGATTCTATCAAAGTTACAACAGAGACATCAAGCACTGGGGGGCAGCAAGGAGATGCTAAGATTGATGCACACAAGATCAAAGAAAGCTAAGGCCGTGATAAGCACAAGGGAAAGAAATCAAATGTCACTTTTGAGCAGCTACTAGCTAAATACCAGAAGGAGAGTGAAGAGAAGCGTGCTTATCGGCCAATTAATGCAAAGAAGTCAAGATCACCCCCAAGGCGCAAGATCGAAACCCGGGATTGGCGAAGGGAGGAGTTTAGTACAACAGCTCCATATCATCATTTTGGGCCGCCAATGCCGACGTCATGGATACCCCCATATGCTGATTTTTCTTCACATCCATCATGGGACTGGTATGATTCAAGGGCACAACTTCCATCGTATTTTAGACCATATTATGTAGAATATGCAGGTCCAAGAAAGCCAACACTTGAAGGACAGTCAAAGGTCAAAAGCCGTTTCTATCAAAAGAATTGGTTTGGAGCTCGAGAGGAGAAGAAAACGGTAATCAAGCAAGTTTACCGTGTCAAAAAAGATGGTCACAAGGATGCAAGTTCAGATCTGATTTCAAATGATAAAAAGCCGATTAAGGTGTTGGAGACATCGGCTATTGATGGCAAAGAGGTAAAGCAATCAATTGATGATAATGATGTTGCCAAATCTGAGCAAGGAAAATTGGAATTGCCCAAGATTAAGAGAGAATTGCCGCTGGTCAGATCAAAACCACAGCCGAGATGCTAACTCGGCTTATCAAGTTGGCAAAAGAAGAAACTACATAGGCTTAGTGAGCAGGAGCTAAAGAAGAAGAAGATGGTATGGGTTCCCAAGAAGAGCATTCAAATTCAAGACAAGGTTGGCAGTCCATCAATGCATGTGTTGTGGAATCCATTTTTTTTAACGCAATGGTAGGAGCTCTGCCTTTCAATTAAGATAGGGAAAGATAGTTTATGTACAAGCAAGGACACTCCAGATGAGGGTTTCAAACCCCCCCAAGCATGTAAAGGAGGGAAACACACGCCCCAAAGGGGGAACAACAGCTAAACATAAGCGAGTGCTCTCTTCCTTTGGTCTATGTCTTCCTTTATCCTTGCGGCTACTTGCGGCACCGTTTCTATCTTGTTGTTGAAAATTCTCCTATTTCTCTCTTTCCAAATATTCCAAAAGATGTAGATTACTACCCCGTTAAGTCGTCTACGCTCAAATCTTGGCACTTTTCTTGCCGCCTCTTCCCACCATGCCTTGATATGGATGGGGTTTGCCTGGGGCTGCTGTTGCAGTTGAGTAAAGTTTTCCCACGAGAGGATTTGATCCCAAACCGCCTTAGCAAAAAGGCAACATAGGCATAGGTGGAGGCCGGTTTCTAAGGGACTGTCGCACAGCACGCATTGTTGTTGGTGTGGCCACCCTCTCTTTTGTAGGTTTTGCGCCGTAAGAATTTTATCTTGCACTAAAATCCAGGCGAAGATCTTGCATCTGTTCTCCACGTGCGCTTTCCAAATCATTTCCGTACGGAAGGGGACAAGCGAGCCTTTGAATTGAATTCTATAAGCTGAGCGGGTGGAGTAAATCCCATCCTTGGTCCATCGCCAGATGATGGTGTCTTGGACGCCCTATTGTAGGTGCACATCCTGTATTCGTATCCAAAGGGACACAAACTCCTTTATGTGGACAGCCAAGGTGATTTTCCTTCCTAGCGAGCGCATCCAATTGTTGTTCCGAAGCTCTTGTTGCACCGTTCGGTTTCTCCTTGAAACAAGGCGAAACAAGTTCGGGGCTAGGTACCTAGGAGCTTGTCCATCTAGCCAATTATGGTGCCAAAACTTAATCTTTGCACCATCCCCCAAAGTTATAACTCAAGCATGATCGGGTAGCACAACTAATCAACAGAATGATGAACTAGAGGTTGGCTTTGGTGTTCATGCTATGGCTCCAAAAGTTGCTAGCAAACTGCATACAAGAGGTACAACCATGCTGCATACATGTGCTTCGGCCGAGTGTAAGGACAGGAGCAATACAAGATTTAAAAGGGCCGAATGCCAAGGCAATTTGGTTGCAGCTGCATTTAAAAGGGGAAGAGGAGAGCTAACCCAACATGGTTCAGTAAAGTCGAGGAATAAATCTCTACCAGGAAAGGGTCCATATCAGCATCATTGGCAATCGTCTCATCGGACTTCATCATCTATACCGCCATTGTGTGAACCGTGGTCTTCTTGTCCAGGTATATTTGATTATAATCAATGCTTTTGGTATAGTCCTTGGATGCCTTTTCATGAATTTCAATATCCTAATTGGGCTTTACCAAAAAAGACATATTATGAATGATCAGCCATTGACGTATCAACATTGTTTTTTTTTAGTATGCTTGCATATATTATAAAATAGCCGAAATATTTGATGGATTACAATAGTTGTGTGTCAACTAGAATTTTATTTCGGCTACAATGGCATGCTCAAAGAAACATATTGGCTGCTATAAATATGGCCGATATTTTATTATCACCCTTAGAACAAATATATGGCCGATAAATTGTTATCGCCCTTAGAACAATTATAATTATGGCCGATGGGTGTGTTGACATCGTCCTTAGTTTAGAGCAATGATTCTTATTTTTTCGCCGCAAGCTTTGCCAAAAAACAGGGGGGCATGTGTTTGATACACAAATTTGTCCAAGTGTTTAGTCACTTTCGGCTTGGATGGCTGAGCGCATATTTTGATCAACATGGTCCGAGTGCATTGTAGGTTAATGTGACCGTTGAGCCTGTCGTTGATCTGCCTCATGCCATCGCCCGAGTGTCCTCTCGTCACGATTGATCTGCGCCAAAGATTAGAGAATTAAGAGAGACTCTCGGTTGGATTGTCTGGCCTCTCCTGGTTTCCCGATATATATAACTATCTATCTTATAATAATGTTTCAAGAGCAATACACGCCTACAAGATGGATTTGATGGATCGATGGCTAACCTTGTCTGTTGTAATTCTAGAGATATCCATGTACTCGTAGGGAAGACCAGCCGCCCTATAAATATAAAGGGTGACGGCTGATTGACAACACATAATCGAACCTATTAATATATATCTACTATTTTCTTTTATCATGTTTTTCAATCTACTATTTCTTCTCGTTCTTCGTTGTCGACGATGTTCATCGCTTCAATGATGGCGAAGCTCTAGAGCGGTCAGGCCGGCTAGGGCAGCCCATAGCCGCCGCACTCCCTGACGGGGTCCCTCCCGGGCATGTGGGGTTTTGAGTATAAAGAGACCTCATCGGCTGTCTTGCATATCGCGCTTCCGGCGAGACACCTCCGGCGACGTGTCCTGCGTATCGCGCTCATCACCGGGGGCACACGGTGACGTGTTCGTGTGTGAACAGGTTGGATGCGAATGACAAAGGATGGGATGGGAACGGAGTTTGCAGAAGCATAGGTGCGGGTGGCAAGGGGAACTGGGGAAGAGATCGGCAATAATGCACTCTTGCTGGGTCTTGCGGTCCTACTCCTACTCATAGGAAGCTAAGGGGAAAGTGCGCATGCCGCTTGGGTTAATCAAGACTCAAGAGTCATGCACAGCTGCAAGAAAAGTCGTGGGAATCAGTGGCATATCAACCGTAACAAGAAGCGATAATGCGAGGTGTGCTATGACTTCCGTAACATTACTAACCAGCCGGACGTCCAGTACTGTCGAACAATCGTTTTACCCGACGACCTATTGGATTTGTTTGGAACTGGGCCTTCTAAATAGTGGCCAAATAGGCAGAGCGAATTAGCAGGCCTAAGGCCTTTGTTCAGCTGAAAAAGTCTTCTCCCTCTCTACTATGCTCTGAGTATCCACTCAAAAAAAAAAAACTATGCTCTGAGTATTGTGGATTGTGTGGGTCTAGGTGTACCCAATCAAGAAAACATTGACTCAGGCGCGTTGCCCATGCCATATGAAGGGCGGAGACGATCTCAACCACGTCATCAGCGTCGATGACGGCGGCCGAGAGGTCGCCCTTGGAACTGGGACCGAGTTACCGGGCCTCAGCCTTTATTTTGTTCTAGCTCCTGAACTCACCTGAAGGAAGACCGTCTTCAATTCAGCAACGGTGTTAAGTGTTAATGTGATGTCCATGTCTTTCCGCGTAAGCGTACACTGGTTCTGCTTCCACTGGCAGAGAAGCAAGTAATAAGAACTGATATTCTGGTTCCGGCAATGGCAATTAAGCATGAAGCAGCGGGGACATACAGACCAGAAATCACACCAATACATCACGGGGTGACAGCATCTAAATTCATGCATGCACGACATCCAACGAGATGTGAATCGATTGAACCGAAGTCACCATCGCACTGGTCCGTTCATCACTTCATGGGATGGTCTCCAAATTCCTGCAGAAAGCAGGATGAATGCTTAATTTAGCAATAGGGCAATGAGGGTATATCCTATCAAACAAATTGCAAAGGTAACACCGTAACATGATCTATGGTAGTGCATACCTGAAGAGCAGAAAAAGGCTCACGGTACAGCTTTGTTGTACAGGAAGAAATGCGTATCCAACAGAGATATCCAGCAGCAGTTCAACGATGATAATTATAAATTTGGACCCTTAGCTTCCCTGTTGCTAGCATCCTGCACTGCTCCTGAAGCTCCATACTGCAGTCGTTGATCTCCAGCACATCCAGCGATGGTGGAAGGCCCTTTTCAGGTAGCCTTGAGATGCGTGGACAACCCCTTACGTCTAGCCTTTTGAGGGAGTGAAGACTATGCAGCACAGCAGGGAGCTCTTTAAGATCCAGAAAACCCAAAATTGCAAGACACTGCAGAGACGTGAGGAGCTGAAGCGCCTTTTCTTGTTCATCCGTGAAGCGGACACTGTTTCTGTTTGAATCATAAGTTACTCTTAGGTAACGGAGAGAGGTGAGGTGTTTGAAGAAAGTCATGGCGAGGGCAGATAAGTCATCGACATAGAGCCTCTCCAGTCGGGGGAATACACTAAAACCTTCAGGCTGTCGTGACAAAAGCTCCAGCAATGGGGCTATGCTGCGGCACTCGTATATTGCCAAATCAGCAAGGTTCCCGAGTGATGCCAAGGTTTCCAGTGAAGTGAGCCAGTCACAACTATAGACTGTCAAGTCTTCCAATGCTGTGAGCGCACCGAGCTGCAGGGAAGTCAAGTTTTGGCTGTCACAGAAACACACTTCTAGTTTGGGGAGGACGCCTTGCAGAGATGTGAGGGAACCACAATCCTGAATCTGCAGGTTTCTTAGTGCTGCTAGGGAACCCAGCTGCAAAGATGTCAGGTTCGGACTATCCTCTACCACCAGCGTGAAGAGGAACGTTCCGTGGGCCAGTAAATAGGGCGCCAAGCCATCCTGGAGATGTCTGATGCTAAGTTTCTCAAGCGACGGAGGAAGAAGACGGGTGTGACCACTTCGCTGTTGCACGTCTTGACACCTTCGAACCCATGAAGCACATAGTTCAGGATTCATCTCAATTGACAAGACTCGGAGGGAACTCAGATACTGCATGCCCTCCAATGCAGCCACCTGTCGACAACTCTGGATCTGGAACTCCTGCAAAGCCGTGCAGCAATGCAGCCGTAGAGACTGCAAGTCTGGGCTCTCCCGCACTGACAGAAATCTGAGAGAGCTCTGGTTCTCTGGAAAGTAAGGCTGCAGTCTTCTTGGGAGAAACTCAATACAAAGATATTGCACAGATGGTGGAACGGAAAACCTCTCATTGCCAGACGAAATCAGCATGGGGCAACCTGTAATGATTAGCTCCGTGAGGGAGGTGAACCCTCTAAACCCCTGCCTGCTGCTGCTATATAACTGCATTTCTGGGCACCTCTGAATATGGAACTTCTCCAGTGTTGAAAGGACATTTAGTGGAATGTGCAAGAGGAACTCATCTTGGCCTAAGCTTGTTGGTAAGACTGCTTGACAAGCCAGACTGCTACTCTCCGCCTCTTGTCTGGGATGATGGATTGATATGGATTTCATCTGGGGACAGCCCTCTATATCAAGTTCCTTAAGGGACTGCATATGAGGCAGCATTTCAGTTAGCCACCTGCCTGCTATACCACCACAGGATTCGATTCTCAGATGTTTGAGACGTGGAAAGGCAGGATGATCTGTAGCTTTCCAGGATTCAGAGACAGCATTAGGCACAATACATGATGAAACCAGATTACCACAACTGACGATTGCCATCTTTCTTAAATTGAGGAGCTGCCTCAAGCCTTCAGATGAAAGAAACACCAGATTTGGACAGTGCTCTATGTGCAGTGATGTCACGTCTGTTAGATTTTGGAACTCCAAAACCTTGGCATTAAGCACTCTCAATTCCTTTGAGGACATGACCGACAAATCATTTGAATTCATTCTCTCTACTGTTGGATATGTTAGAAGCGCTTGAACTGATACTTGAGTATTTTCAGCGGGCGGCAGGGGATGTAACAACATCAGACGAGGACATCCATGTATCTTTAGCACACGAAGACCAGATAACCATTTGTTTCGCTCAGCTTCAACATATGAAAATCCTATGGAAAGAAAAAAAATCAAGGTTGTAATATACTAGTGAACCAAAAATTACTAGAGGTAAGAACAGATACCATCTTCTACTGAAAAAGAGAACGAGTTCAAGTTATCAGTTTGTTTGCTATATTAATGAATGATTGAGGTGCCTCTTACCTGAACATAAAGCTACATCTAATGTTGCTCCTAGACTCTGCGAGCCTTGATACCTTTTTAGTTGTGATTAAAAAAGAGGAAAATTTATGAAGGGAAAGTAACATTTGCATGTGTGCAAACTGCTAAATTAAGAGCTCATCGGGTACAAATAGCTTCCTTAAAAAAACATACAAATCTGAAAAACCCAACTAAAACTGGCGTCTGCTTTTATTAAGCAACAACAACCCTAAATAAACGACCGAACCCTCCCCCACCCACCAAAAAGAAACACCCCAGAGAGTAAGAGAGAAAGAGCTGCTCACCCCTACCTGAACCAGTGCCTTTCAGGCTCAGCATCTGAGATCTTTGTTGAACTTCAGAAGAGCATAAATTCTGAATTTCAAATGGAGTGAAGACCTTCAGTTCATGGCAGTTTTCAATTATCAGTACCCGTAGATAAAAATCCAATTCCCTCGTACAAGTGGCCATACATTTTTCTAATCTTGGTAGTCCAGATAGCACCAACTCCTCTAAACAAGGAATTCGTACTTCTTGTACATGGCAGATATTAATCAACTTAAGCTTCCTAAGGAACCAAAACTTTTCGAGCCAACTTGGAGATACAGAACCACTGTAACCACTTATCTGGAGATGTTTCAGGTTTTGATGAGGTTTAAGAACCTCAAGAACCTCAGTTATTGTCTCTGTTGAAGTTTCCAAACTAGTGCTATCAGAATCCCACAACAAGCACAGTTCCTCTAGGTGCCCTTTATCTATAAGTCTTGCTTCAGTAGCCTCTTGTTTGCTTCTTACATTTTCAATTTGATAAATTCCAAGTTGTACAAGCTGATTCATGAATTTAAGCTGTCTTATATCAAACCCACTAGCTTTTTGAACCTTGAATACAGGAAGCTCTTGAAGAGAGGTCACATTACCAACGCTGGCAATGGTCGACAGTACTTCCCCTGCCCCAACAAGATGCTGCAAGCTGACAAGGTTACTCATATCACTGGGAAGAGTTAGACCTACATAGGGGTCAACATCTAATACTTCAAGATGGAAAATTTTGATCAAAGCATGCGGAAGAACTCCAGTCGGAGAGCCAATGCGGTCCACCTCTACATAACGAATATGCGTGCAATTCACCAAACTACTGATGAAACAATCAAAATGGGCATCAGTTGCAGAGACTTGCAGCAAACGTAAATTTTCCGCTTCTTTAAACATATGCTGGAAGGATGTGAAAAAAGAGAAGTCATAACCACCAAATAAAATCAAGGATCTCAGCTTTCTCACAGATGTAAGTTGCAGCAAGCTTTTCTCTAGACTGTCACAAGAAAATTTAGGCTCATAGTCTGCAGAAAAGCCAAGTGAATATTGACAGATGGCGCGTAGTTGGCAAGATTTCTTTATGTTTTGTGCCATCGATAGTCGCAAAGTCAGTTCTTGAAACTTCCCATGCTAAATCATGCATAAGATCGTGCATGACAAAGTGATTCGAATAATTCCTGCCCCTTCCAACCAGCTTAAAGAAACCTAAGTTCACTAAGAAGCCTGAGTTCACTAAATCAGCCAAATAAGCATTTCCTATATCCTCTAGTTTTTTACCAGTGTGGTTACCATGCACAAATCCTTGTGAGATCCACATTCTGACTAACTTCACTGCATCAAAGAGATAGTTCTTGGGGAATAGACAACAATACCTAAAGCACTGCTGTAAGGAGTCCGCAGGTAATCATAACTGAGCTTCAATGCAGGCATAATGCCTTCCATATCCTGTAGGGATTTCCATTCTTCATTGTTTAGTATTTTAGGTCCAATTATCGATGCTAATATTCTTTCTTAACAGAGCACCGACAGTTTTTACTGCTAATGGGTTTCCCCTCAGCTTTTTAGTTATTTGCTTCCCAATAGTGCACAAACTTGGATGCTCTTCATATTTCTCATCACCAAACGCACATGATATAAACATTTGCCATAAAGCATACCCTTCCAAAGCATTTAACTTGACTGGTTCAACTGTCTGTGTCATTTCTGCAACAGATACTTTCCGAGTTGTCACAAGTATCATATTACCTGTTGTCTGAATACGTTTTAAAGGAGCTAACAGTTTTTCCCAAGAGCCCTGCTTCATATCATCCCAGACATCATCCAAGACAATTAGAAACCTCTTGGATTCCATGCGTTTAACTAGGTCCTCCTGAAGCCCATCCAGGTTGTCTGTTTCTGGTAGCCTTGTTTCCGAGACACGGTCTAATATCTCCTTGTCACCCTACGCGCGTCCAAAGTTATCAGAAACACAAACCCATATCTTGTTCTGAAAATGACTTTCTACCTTAGGATGGTTGTACACAAGCTGGGCCAGAGTTGTCTTCCCAATCCCTCCCATGCCTACAACTGCTAGGACAGATATGCTGGATCTGCTCCTTGCAACCAACTCAAGGATGGATTTCACCTCTGCATCCCTCCCGTACACTTTTTACGCTCAACAAGAAACGATGATGTTACACGTGTGCTCTGACTCAGATTTGAAGCTACAGGGAGGTTCGATCCATCTATTTTCAGAGCGTCACTGACATCACGCCAAAGGTCTCGTAGTTTGCCACGGATGTCTTTGATCCTTCGAGAAAACTCACTCCGGTTGAGGTGTGTGCAGGCAGCAATGGTGTGGTCATCTTCTCTTTTCCGTTTACCCCTAGAGCCACCCATGGAGATAGAGTTACTCAAATTTCTGATTAAGGTGCCTCCATGCTGTTGAATGGAACATGAAGACCACGTCGATGAAGTTGCAGCATTGCATGCAGTAGTTGTACCGGTACCACCCCTAGTATTGCCTGCGAGAAGGCGGAAGGGATAGACAGGAGCATTAGCATGGTTAGGAAATGTAAACTAAGATAGACCAATCTTGCAGTGCTGAGTCATGAAGCAAACAAAATACACAATTAACTAGTCCCTGTTGTAGGAGTATATATGACACACATACCACTCTGGACCTGCTCTTTTAGGCGATAATAGTCAAGGTCATCCATCACGTCCTCAGCGTCGTACAACAGCTCCTTGAGATCAGCCAGGGACTGAGCCAACGGCTCGTTCTCGATCTTCCTCCCTTTGGCAGCAGCAGCTACCATCTGAACATATCTCATGTCCGACTTGAGCTTGTCCACATCGTCGGCGAGGCCAATTCTTTGAGTCCATGCCTCCAGCTTCTCAGTAAAGAGGTTCCCCAGGATGCCCTGCACCAGCCATCCGATGGCTGCATCCACCACGGCTCCCACCGCCGGCATCATCTCGTGACTGGGTCAGCTTTAGGCAGTGGCAGTTGTTGCACGATGCAGGAAGAAACGGGATGAATGGTGAGGGGAGAAATGAGGCGCGGAGATGGAATTGGGGTGGCTGGGAGAGGAAATTAAAGGGGAGTCAAAGGTGGTACTAGGAAGTTGAGAGGAAAAGGAGTAGGTCATCATCGTTGGAACCACTAAGAAAATAAGGAAGGGGAGGTCATAATTAAGTTATGCTGGCTACAGCATACCACCAAATATACAAAATACCGAAAGTAAGTTGATATGTTCAAAGTGGAAGACTTTTTTGAAACGAATTCAAAGTGGAAGACTTGTAAACCACCAAAGACTCACGTCTCACACAGCCCAACACCGAAAGTTGATCGGATGGGAGATGAAGTGGGAGAATATTTACAGGTCGGCAGGAGTATATCTTTTCTGCATTGACGCTTAAAGTGACAAGCAGCCAAGTTGTAATACCTTTTGGCTAGCTAACTGAGTGCTTTGAATTCCTGAACGTATATCGTACAGGTAAAACACCTGAGGCGCGAAGAACTTACTTACTGGGTAAACAGGCTTTGGATGGGGCTGAGCCGATGGTCCGTTGCCAGTACTGCTGGTGTGTCGCTTCACTCAGGCTGCACTACACAAGCATGAAGCAGCAGCGTGTCAATCCAGAACATCGTTGGTGGGAGAAAAAAAAAACTCTGGCAGTACGTAGCAGTAGTACTACATCTTATCTTATTAAAGAGTTCCACTGAATTCGCACCACCTTGACCGGTCGCGTGGTAGAACCGTTGACCGGTAGACGAGACGACAAGCTGCTCTGCTTCGGGTGTGGAATTTCCTCGAACATGCCAAGGGCGCGCCGCGCCAGAGCGGTGGGGTTGGGATTGGGACCGCCACCGGTCGAGTTCGATAGCATACCCACCCAGGAACGGGAGCAAATGCGGGCTGCGGAAGTGCGTCGGCGTGGCACCACGGACGCGGGCATGGACGCGGCAAGCTGTCGTTCCGAGCGGACGGCCTACGCATTTATCCCGGCACTTGAGGCCAAGAAGGCAACAACGCGGGAAAACGGCTCGTCGCTCGGGCACTCGGGCAGCATGCCATCGGTAGAGCTGCGCAGAGCTCATACCTGGTTGTGCTGCCGAGTGAGTGATAGAGAGACTCCGGCAAGCACCGGCGCCGGCGAACGCGATTGTGGGTATATATGGCCATCGGGCCGGCCCGGCTCGGCACGGCCCGGGCACGGGCCAGGCACGGCCCGCTGGTGTCGGGTTGGCACGGCACGCCGTGCCCCCCGTGCCGTGCCTTACCAGGCCTCGTGCCCCGTTGATAGCCCAAGCACAGCCCCTCGGGCTGAAATTCGGGCCGTGCCGCCCGCACAGCCCGGCCAAAACTTGCGGGCCGTGCCAGCCCACAACCCGAAATGTAGAAAACCGCTCATCGATTCTTAATCAACAAAGACATTCATAATTTTGACAAGTCATTCACAGAATCACAAAAACAACTTAACTATTTAACAACTTAACAAAAGAAGACTCAAACACAACAAAAGACAGATTTAAAGATAGAAATGAGTCGTGTGTGCAATCTCACCTCATTAAAAACATTTTAGGTAAAACTCACCTTTGTGAGAAACCCCGAAAAGGAAAAAAGAGTGCAAGACAGCTCTTATAATGTTCAAATGTTCACAATACAAATACGAGATACAAGCATCGTGTCTCAACTCTCAAGCCTCACAGTCTCAATCTCAACTCTCTCAAATCGAACTCTCAACTCTCACTCGTAGTAGCAAAGAAGGCGGTAAACAGAAGCACTTGCGGATGTGCTAGCGCGAAGAGGCCCAGATCCATCTTAAGGAACATCAAGATATAGATTCTCAAACGACTCACAAGTGAAATGTTGAAGTCTTCTATCACCCACTCCTAGTCCTTGATGCAAGCAAGCATCTCCACATGTTCAGAGCGAGTTTTTTTCGCGTCGCTCCTCAATAATCTTTCCCAAAACCTGAAACATGATTCAAGAAGAGACAAGAGAAACAGAACAGCCATAATATCTCTTGCCATTATAGAAAGAACAAGATAGGTTAGTTTGTAGTCACGTCACCAGAGAAGTAAATCAAAATCATCCTCATATGCAAAGTGACATTGTCATTATCCGTATAAGTTGTGAGCTCACAAGCAACAGAGGCAAAGCAGATTGAGTTGAAGTGGAGACAGAGGCGGGGAGGAGGACCAACAACAAATGATGATTCAGGGGCCGCCAAAGATCCTTCCCCATGCTTGTTTCCTCTTACCGAGTTGATCGCAGGATGTGCGTGCCTTTGAGACCTTGTAGAACCATACTTGTCATCATACTTGGCAAATAACTTGTAAATTTCAGTTTTAACATCAACATATAATATTTATTGTAATCAACACCAATGTTCTCTTTAAGTATTACCAAAGACATTAAACAAACCTCTCAACTTAGCTCTAGGATCAAGAATGAAAGCAATAGAATATAACAGAGGTATATTTTCCCAATACTAAGATATTTAAGCTTCATAGGATGAACAACAATCATTAGATTTTGATCTTTTTCACTTTCATGCAAATGATGAGCAATGTTAAGCATATGGTGTAGAATTAGTGGACTAGTTGGATAGTAAACACCAGATAGAACACATGTTGATTCATAAAATAATTCCAGGAACTCCAATATCTTGGCAGCAATGAGCCAATGTCTTGAAGTCAACAATGTGCAGCCAAAATTTGCATTAATGAACACAGAAAAAACCTCCTTGTAAGGTAGCAAGTGTTTAAGCATAAGGTATGTAGCATTCCATCTCACATCCATATCTAAACCAAACTTTCTAGGTCTAACACCCTGAGCATTGCAATAATTCTTAAACATGGTAATTCTGTGATTAGATGAATTTAAGAAGTTAATAGCAGTTCTAAAATCTTCTGTGTAAGTTTTAAATCTCTTTAAACCAGATTTCACAATCAAATTAATGATATGGCAAGCACAACGCTGATGCATAAGATTATATTTACGCTTATTAAGATCTGATGAAGTAGGTGTTGGATCAGAACCTAAATAACATGCAAACATAGGTGTCAAAGTCTCCATTGCCTTAGCATTGGAGGAAGCATTGTCTAGAGTAACAGAATAAATCTTGTCAATCATACCAAATTCCTGAACCACACAAGCAATTTTTTCAGAAATGTTCTCACCAGTGTGCTTCACCTCAATCAACCTGAGGCCAATTACCTTTTTCTGTAGCTCCCAATCTGCACTCACATAATGAGCAACTACACTAATGTAGTCCTCCTTAGCATTTCCAGACCATATGTCAGATGTCAAAGCAACAGATGATGCACCAGACAAAATATGATTCTTAAGCATATTACGACGTTCAGTAAATAGAGCACGAAGGTCTCTAGTGGTGGACTGTCTAGACACCCTACGAAACCTAGGGTTATGAGCACGTTGAATGTACTCCTCAAATGCATCTGTATCACCAATACCCAAAGGCAAATCAAGCCTAGCAATCAATCTGCAGAGTTCAGTTCTAGCTACCTCAGGTTTATAATCCTAGTTATGCACAGAACCATCAGGATTGTAAGATAGCCTAGATTGAACCCTATCACGTTGATCAGTTTTCTGCCTACAAGAGTTCTGGTGCCTCTTCAAGTGACCAGTGCCAGCACTAGATCTAGCAGACAAGGTTGACTTACACATTTTACATTTAGCTTTAGTGCAAATCTGTACTCAATTCACAGTCTCAAATATCTCTTCAAAATCATCCCAGACAGGAGATTTGCGCTTACTGAAAGTGCATTTGCCCCCTATGTGGGTTTTGGTGTATTGATGACATTCAAATTAGGGACTAATGTGATCTTAATGAGATATGTTGCAGCTATTAGTCCCATGAAAGATTCAAAGAGTTGATAAAGATGAAATGGTATCCCTCAATTCTTGAAGTTGTAAAGGCGGACGAATTCAAAACGATCTCCAAAGGTTTTAAATTTTGTCTTTGAGTTTAGGATCCGCCGCACTATAAAGAGGGATGCAAGTTTAGTTGGTCTGAGGAAGATAGAGTGCTCAAGCATTTAAATAAAATCAATCGTGTGTCACTCTAGCACTTCACGAGCACAGAGAATATTTTTTTTCTGTGACTTTCGGTGTCGGAAGTCCCGACGTAAGTCGGAACTCCCGACAGTCGGAAGTCCCGACCTTTGCCAGGAGTCCCGGCACCTGTGCTTCTGACTGCTCGCTGTCTGTGCACGTCGGAAGTCCCGACGTTCGCCGGGAGTTCCGTCCATCGGAAGTCCCGACGTTCGCCGGGAGTTCCGACACTGACCTGACCCGAGCCGGGAGTCCCGGCCTCAGCAGTGCTGGCTGTTTGATTAACTGTGCTCGTCGGAAGTCCCGACGATCGTCGGGAGTTCCGACCGTCGGAAGTCCCGACGTTTGCCGGGAGTTCCGACACTGACTTTCTCCCGTGGACTTCTGACTCGTTGTGAACAGTGTTTTCTGTTGTAGTCGGAACTTCCGGGATCTGCGTCGGGACTTCCGACGTAGATCTGAACGGTTGGATTTTCACTTGGAGTATAAATACTCCTCTCTTCACTTCTAACCGTTACGGACTCATTTTCACAGTTGACTCACTTCGTGCTGAACAGCTCCCAAGCAACCAAAGCACCCCTCTCCTTCCCCCTTTGCTCCAATCTTCAATTCCCTTAGGGTTTGATTGAAAGGAGAGTGGATTAAGTGAGAGCATCACTTTGGAAAGCTTGAGCACTTGATTTCTTCGTCAAGCCGGTTGATTTTGCGTCTATTACTCTTGGGGTTTTACCCCTAGCCGGCTAGGCGTCGCCCAAGAGCTTCCATCTTGTGGAAGATCCTCGGGAAGTTTGTATTACCCCTCGATTTCTTAGTGGAAAGCTCAAGTGACCTTTGTGGTCGCTTAGAGAGAGGCAAGGAGGTGGAAAAGACTCCGACCTTTGTGGTCACCT